TTTAACAACTAAACCTGATTATTCTTTTTACAGAAAGACTTGTAAATTCTACAGGAATTTGGTTCATTTACCTCATTACCAAGGTAAAATGTTTTTTCTAACATTGAATGAAATGATTCCAAGAGCCTAAGAAAATTGTGCAAAACCTTTACAGTATCTAAGGGTGGTGTTGGGAGAGGAGGATATACATAGTGATAACCGAGGCAGGGTGCCTTCTAAGTCACCGAGAGTACAGTAAACCTCAGACGAAATCTCCATCTCTATTAGGACACTTGAGTGGAGCACTGACTGACCCATCCCAAAAGGATTCCCATTTCTATCTGCCCAGAAGTACTGGGGGTTTGTTTTTACAAGATTCTTATCTTCCTGGAGTCTATTCATCTATATCATTGCCTCCATGAACTATAGCCACATAGAAAGACTGCCTGAAAGAACAAACACAGTAAACTTAGGATGCTTGCGTTTTTCCTTTGCCTAATTGAAATATTAGCATTGTCATCATAACTGTGGCACTCAGGTAGCCTTTAAAGCAGTGTGCTGCAAATAGCTCCACAAACATGCATTAATCCCATGACATCCCGCAGGGCAGGGAGGGCAGCTCCCTCTCACAGCTGAATGGCTGGGACAGGCCACAGAAACAGTGAAGAGGCAACTGGAAGAAACTGAACTCAGCGCAGTCTCAGAAGCTAGGATCAACCAATCCCTTTGGAAATTCAACCATAAACCTTAATAAAGTTCACATCTTTGGACCTAAAAATTGTGTTTCTTGGACTTTATCCTAAGGAAATAACCCAATATACAGAAGAGCTTTTTGCACAAAGGTGTTCATCAAAGTATTATTCACAAGGGTAAAAATTGTCAAAAACTGCAATACTCAACAATAAGGGCACAATTTCAAAATTCAAGTACGTATACATAGAAGAATATTATGAAGCAATTTTAAATCATATTTATAAAGAAAATGCTCATAATGTAATGTTCAAAAAGAATGACCAGGTTATAAAATTGAATATATATTATGAACATAGTTCTGTAAGAAGAAATTTGCACAGGAAATATTTGCAAGGACACAAGCCAAAATGTTCACAGTGGAAAAGACCATGTCTTTTGTCACAGATGACAAGACCATGTATGGGTGATTATTTTTCCTAATTAGACTTTTCTGTGCTTTCCAAATTTTCTTACAATGAGCAGGTATTACTTGTAAAAGGGAAAAATTAAGTTTTTTGTTATAAAACAATATATAAATAAAATCATTTATAAATTATATGCTCTGAGAAAATTGAAAACAATGTATAAATTCCTTTATGCAACAAGTGATTATCCTAAGACAATCATAATTAGGAAGTTGAATTTGCAATATGTATCCATGTGGGTATACCTACATTCACACAGGAAGCAAGATGTAACAGGTAACTTCTAACCACACAGGTGAGCCAGCAGTGTCATGGGGAGAGAGAGGCCTTCCAAGCTCCCACCACCCATCACAGTAATTTCACACATTCTAAACAAGCAGTAGACTTGCCATGCAAACACAGTTTCACACGGGTCTCCCAGCCTTCCCTCCCAGCCAGACCGCAGTCCCTAAGCCTTTATTAAATAGGAATCTTGAGCACCCACCTTCCCCATGAGAACTAAAACATAAAATATAAACTGCCAAATTTTTAAAGTGGAGGTACGGCTAACTCTATAGTGACTTTTGTCTTGCTCTAAAACAAGATTAAAGACAAGGAAAAATGCCTCATCCCTTCACCATTTAAGATATCTAAAGGAAGTCTCCTTTCCATTGACATAGAGAGAATCAACAAAATCAGTGCAACTTCAAGTCCAGAGACTAAGATGCTAGCATCTTCAGTTGCCCTGAGATAAGAAAAGACTACAGTCAAAAAACATATGAATAGCAACCAACTAAGGCTGTGGGAACCAACCTCCTACTCACCTCCGTCTGAGACTACAGCTTTACCCAGCTGACAGAGGATCAGTTCTTTCATCCTACATCATAAGTAACTGTCACCAACTATGCGGGCCAAGAAAGATGAGAAGGGCAGGCAAAGAATAAAAATGATGAGATGAGTCTACAGGGACCCACCTCCAGAGAAGGATGGGTACTTACATTTCCTTTATTTTACCACCAGCTATTTTCTAGAGATGTTGGGAAGCTCAAACCATTGTCCTACAGGTGCTACAGGTACTGTGCCCGGCTCTAATAACTAACATTCAGAACTTAAGTTTCCTTAAGAATAAGCAGATTAGTTAATTCAATCATCTCTGTTGAAGGAATGAGACAACTCAGTTTCTTTTCTCAAAAACTGACTCTCCCAACCCATCCCTCGAACACCACTTTCTGTACAGTGCCAGCTGTTGTGCTTCCCAGGCTTTCATGTGCACCGACACCTCAAGATCTTGTGAGGATGCAGGTCCTGATTTAGCAGCGTTAGGTGATGCAGAGACCAATTAAATCCCTATCTCTGAGGGTGAGACCCAGGCAGCGGTAAGGCTCCCCAGGTGAGCACCAAGTATAGCTGAGGTTGCACACAGTGCTAGAAGATTTGGAAAGGACACCAGCTCGATCTAACTCCTTGGCTACTCTGAGTGTGCCCCCTGCACCAGCAACACCAGCACGCTAACACTGGCTTCAGAGTTGTTATAAAACTGACAGAGGTAACACAGGTCAAGTATGCAGTCAGTTCTCTAAAATATTAGTCATGGTTATTATTTTACTACTAATAGTAGTATGATTATTATTCAGGTGGGCTAATGCAACTGAGAGGAGGCCAAATTTGTAAAGAAACAGAGTTCTTGAGAAAACTATGAGCTAGAGGAAGATAAGAAAATATGAGCGGGGGAGGAGCTTCAAGAGGATGGCTGAGAGCAAGCGTGTGGGGAGATGACACAGGGCCCTGTCCATAGCCCACAACCAGAGCAGTAATAGTCACAGTAACAGCTGCCATTCGCTTGGGCCTTAATAAATGTGCCAGGCACTGTCCTTACTACTGAGAATTCTCCAGGCAGAACCTAGGGGCTTCCATTATTCAAAGCCTACTGTCCCAAGGCTCCAGACTCAGGTCAGCAGGATCCTGAAGGGATAGACGATTCCTTTCCCTCAGGGCAGAGGACCTGCAGAGTACCCCAACACGTGGTGAGGACTGGACACAACTATGTAAGTATGAGCTCCAACAGACCAGCGCCAGGTTCAGGAGAGCGAGGAGACTGTGCCTAGAAGCCCACCTCTGAACTAGTCTACATTGTGAACCATGTGCCAATCTTCCTCAGGTTCTTTTTGTCCCATCTTCTCATCCTTCTCTTTTCCTATTCCCTCTTCCTCTTAGAACTGCTTCTAAGAGCTTCTTTCCATGCACCACATAGATGTCTGTCCTCCCAGCTGTCTCCTGGAAAATAGGGAAGAAGAGTTTGAAGGCAGTACCCATGGCCACTTCACAGAGGTGCTTCGTGTCACAGCTCTGCAGGTCACCCTCTGCCCGGAGGGGGAGGTGACATTCCATGAAGGAGCAGCTTATGTGACTGTAACAGCTTAAGTGTACACATTAAAGGAGGACAAAAAGGGCATGGTTTCAGGACAGCCAGGCTGGAAGTCTGAAGATGGTCCTAAAAAGCTCAATTTTGTGTATTCTTCTGAATCTATGTTTAAAAAGCTGTTACACTCATTTTCAATGGGCCATGACCACCCTAGGAGGACCTTCTCCAGCACCACCCCCAAGATGGAGGTTCCCATGTTACAGATGTAAATGCCTAGAGGTCTAAGGAGTTCACTCAAAGGTCTGAGCACGAGAAGCAGCAAGGCCTGGACCAGGCAACCTGGCTCCACACTGGGACTCCACATCAGGAAACAGCCGAGGCCTGGAAAGCTTCAAAATCTGTGTTCTGTGTCTCACATATATTGTCTCATTTTCCTCAAAGCAGCACTGTGAGAGCTGCACAGGACCACCTCCATTTACAGCTCAGCAAAGGCAAATGGAAAGATGCTCAGTGAATGTCCAGGTTCAGAGCTCTAGTCAGTGGAGAAGGCGGAGACTAATCCAAGTCTGTGTGCCTCCCAAGCCTAAATCACAGCCTCTCTCCAGGCACTCTGACAACCTGACCTGCTCTCTCCACGAAATTTGAAAAGCTACAAACTTTTAGAACTCACAGGACCAGAGAATATGGTCACTTCTTGTGATTATTCTATAATCCTCCCTTTTTAAAAAAAACAACAGCAACAAAAACCCACCTCTTTTTATGTAAAACTGTTTTTCCTGAATTCTATGAGGGTCTTCAACTTCACAGACCCCATTTTATACACAAGGAGCCACAGGCCCAGAAGAATTAAGTGGCTTCCTGGGATGTTAAGCAAATCAGACAAAGAACCAGGACCCAAATTTAAAAGCCCCTGTGTCTCAGGCCATGACTCTAGGGCATCAGCCAGACTAAGCGGTTCCCTGCAAAATGTTCAAACTGGCAGCCAGGGGGAAATCAGTGTCAGATAGTTACACCAGGGCTTCTCCATGAGCTCATTTCTAGGAGAAGCACCCTCACTGCAAGGCTAGTTCAGCAGAGTTGCTACTGCACCACCATTTACACACAAACAAATCTGAGGAAAAAAACTAAACATGGGGAGGGAGAGGTTACTCATCAGAAATAATTTTTTTCACTCCAAGAGTCATCGCAGTTCTATAAAAAAAAACCACATTCCCTATATATTGCTCTGCAAGTGACACATTTCCTTCAGCGAACAGTGACTTGCAGGATATTATGTGTGCCCTATTGCTCAACAAAAGCAGAATCATAAAATGTCAAATGCTTTTTCAAATTGCTACTTAGAAGGAAAACATGTTACTGTTTTGTAAAAATCAGACACCATCTCAGCCTAGGCCCCTTAAGTTTGTATGGCCTTCAGTTCATAAATGCAAATGTACATTCATTTTATAAAGTTGTTTGGTATTTTATTACCTATCAACTAAGAGTTGAAATAAAGTTTTCATTTAAGTGTGGAGGATTCTCACCTGTGAAAGCATTTGTGGCCTGAAAACCAGCTTCCTGCATACTGCTCCTCAGACAAGCCTGTGTTCCGACTCTTAAGCTGTCCTGTCAAGAGGAAACCGCCTGGGCAAGGCCTCAGGTCACTTCCATCTTAGCTTGTCGGAGTCCATCACTCTGCCCCGTCTGGCTTTTGGTAGCATTTGATGCCCACCTGCCTTGCTCCCCAAGAGCAGGCAGTACCTGGGACAGCACCCAGTCCAGGAGCGTGCACACTTGGGGCACACAGTCACGTCAGCCGTCCAGCCAGAGAGCGTAGGCCATGGTGAGCCCAGGAGCAGAGGATGCTGTCCCACTGAGACCTGCTTTTCCACCTTAGAATGATGGCCTCCTCAGCCACTCAGCAGCCAGCATCTTCCACCGATCACAGCCGCTCCAGTGGAGCTAGGTATGGTCTGATCTGCTGCTTTCTGTGCTTCGCCTCTCCCCTTGCTGAAATTAAAAAGAAAGAGATCACTTTCCTGGTGACCAATAGGAACATTAAATTTAGTAGACCTACAGAGGCCAAAAAAGAAAAAGAAAAGGCCACCCAGAGCTATGCTCATGACCACAATCTGGGCACTGGGGGAGCTCTGGGGAAGGGGTAGCTACGGCACTTTTTCCTGAGTACCTGTAAAAGGGTGGGAGAGCAAAACAAAACAACACGGGGTTCACTGCTCCAAACCTCTCTAAGGACAGTTACAAAGGTCACACAATGTGCAAATGTCCTTCCCCAGGTTACTCGTAGTTCACAGACACCCTGAAGAAGCCCATTTCCCAGGCTTGTTCCCGAGGTCTTAGGAGTGCAGTCTGAGGTTCATAACCACTGCCATCAGCAGTCTAGGAAGGACTCAAGTTTTAAAAAATGACTCTTAAGGGGGAAACAAAGGCCCATGTTAATTTTTTTAGAGTGGAAAGGAAAACCAAATTTAATCTATAAACTATTCCATATATACTACATAATAATAAAAACAGTTTACAAAATACTTTCAGATATTTCAATGTTGTTATAGTATACAAGAAACAACATTAACAAGAATGTCAGAAGCCGAAAAGACCAGACTTTTAAAATGGAATCCCCAATATGAATCATCAGTATTGGAGAAAAGAAACTTTTTTCATTACTATCACTTCATTCTATTCCACTTACAGCCAATTTTTAGAAAATGTAACCTTATTCCTCTTTTTCACCATCAAACTAGAGAAAAGAAAAAGAATTTAAGAAAGCGCATAACAGAAAGGAAACCTCTGTTAAAACCTTCATGTTTCTGTAAATATAAATATTAATATAATAAAATACCACTAATACAGATTAACTATAAAGAAGAACATTGGGTGTTAGTGAAGGAATTTAATTATATTAAGAAATTCAATTGTACTGCCTTCATGCAGCTGCAGTAACAATATCTGTTAAGGCGTAGCTTAGTAGGGGTCCTTAAGTTTAATGAGTAGGTAAAAATTTTATTTTAATTAAAAATCATTTATATAAATGGTGGTTTTGAAGTGCTTGAAGATGTGAGTAATGTTTTTTCTATGAATTTAAACATTCCACATAAAATGACCAACACACAGTATCAGCATCCCAAAGTCCTGCACGAACTTCTAAAGTAAACTAATCATGTACACAATCGTTACCAATTTTAGGAAGTGGAATTGCCAGATAATAACAAAATCCCACCTGCCCTAAAATCTTAATTTTCTTTGCCCTTTTCTATGATGCTTTCAATGCACAGAAATGTTAGACTTTGTTCTTTCTCTGAACTCAGAGACAAACTGAAATGTGGTGAGGTTTTTGTTGTTTTATTGTGGGGTTTTTTTTGTTTATATTTTGTTTCATTGCAAAAGGTATGCTACCTCGCTTTTTAAGAAATGAAGTTATCCTATATCATATTTCAAATAGCTATGGGAAAGATTAAGGCAGATGTGGCTAGAAATAGAAGAAACAACAAAGTGATTTTTCTTTTACTGTCATTATCACACTCACAGATTCTTAACTTTACTTCTTGTAAAATGGAGGCATTACCACAGGTGTGTAACAGCTCATTTTACGGCTCAGGCATGGTCTTGACCAGGATTTTCAGGGCATGATGTGTGTGATTCCCAACAAAGGATGAAGGGACACAATTGTGTTAATTCATTAATAGATAGCCTGCATATTCCTACATACACTCTGAGTCTCCTCATATGCAGTTTTCAAGTTAAAATGAAACTAGAAGGGCTATAAATGTTTTCTTCCTAACCGCTGACAACACAGAAAAGATATACTTTCTAGAAATATACAAGAAAGAGATGGAGGTCTCCCGAACCAGGAGTCTTTCTTCTGTTCAGTGAGGGACTCAATCATCTGGAACAGGGCCAGAAACCCAGCCATGCTCAGTAAGAAAGTGTCAGATGACCCAAAGGGTTGGGAAACAGCAGTCTGCTTTCACAGTTTAGTAACCAACCAAGACTCAGCAAAAAGGCAGAGAAGCTGACAAGTACTGTCTCCCCTGCTTGTCCCGATCTGTCACTCTCGTGTGGCTCTTGCTCATGATTTTCTGCTCACCATCTAGTCTCAGCTCAAACAACCCTCCTCAGAGATGCCCACTTGATCATCCCCCAGGCTAAATTCAGAACCCAGATACTAGGCTTCCCAGAACTTGCCATAGTCATGGCTTCACACAAGGATTGTGACCGCTTAGTGTCCATCTCTCCCACTAGACTTTAAGCACCATGAGGACAAGAACAGTGACTGGCTGACTGTCCATTTCCCCTCAGCACCTAAGACACTGCCTAGCACCTGGTAGGCACTCAGTAAACACTGGTTTCTTGGATGGATGGATGGATGGATGGATGGACGGATGTCATTTGTGTTCAAAGGGGTACAAACAGAAGGGCTCAGCAAACACCTACAAAGCAAACCCACCCCGAGCCGTGAACTGACAAGCAGTGGTTCCTGGGCTGATAGACTATTCTGCAGTTCTGACTCTGAGCCCCTGAATTGGCAAGAGCTTTTCCTACCACGCCACTAGTTAGGATGAGACAGTGATTATGAGCAATTCCCACTGCACTCACACTTCACAGAATGTCCTATCTAGTAAAGGCCTGTAGAGGTCATTGCTTTAAATTCTCTCAAGCCACAGAGAGAAAACTCTAACCCCACAGAGGTAAAATAACTTAGCCCCCAAAGCTAGTATGCAGAAGACTCAGGACTAATGCCTGGGTCTCTTGCCCCTACAATCACTGTTCTTCCCATGCTACTTCTAAATCTCAGATAGTTCCCTAAACCAAAATGCCTTTAAGTGATAATACTCATATCAGGAAAGCCAAGGGGGAAAAAGAGAGGAAACATAAAGAAAGTGGAAACTTACCCAGGATGCAAGATCACAGAGTAATCCTGAGCCACATGTTAAGAGCCCCCTCTACAGCAAGCACGCTACCATCATTCTATAGTCTACACACACACACACACACACACACACACACATTCTACTTATACTGGGAAGATGGGCAGGACTAACCAGAAAATAAATTAATTCAATATTGCACTTGAAAAATGTCATTAAGTCCCTCCCATAACAGAGCAACAGTTACTAAGGAAATAGAGCATACCAAACAGAAAAACACCCCCACAGGAAGGGACATTTTTTAAAAAATATGAACACCCACAAAACCTAACCAAGTAAGTTGTGGAATATGTTTGCTTTACCACTTGTTCATAAAAACTTTTATAAAATGCAGTCCTCCTAGGAATCACTGGGGAATGAAAACTTAACTGCATTCAACAGATCAGAGGTTTCATAAAAATACACTGCAAAAATAGATATATGCAATTCAGGAAACACTCAGGTCACACTCTGGGCACAGAGGCCAAAATCCAATAGAGAAGTGAAACAGCCTTTTTTACAAAATCTAGTAACATTAAAAAATTTTGTAGTGCATAAAGAATTAACACTGCAGTTTCATTTTTTATTTCCTCTCACTGTGGACAGACTGTTTTGCTGGCCTAGTGTCGGTTACCTAGGTGACAGCTAGACTAAGCAGCCTGAAGGGCTCCAGGCCATAGAGACTCTGGGAGCTAAGGCCCCGTGCCTGTGTCTGGTGAGCCATCACTGTTCTACCCATTAGAGAAGTTCCAGGGAGAAAGGAACACTGAAAGATGAAGAGAGAGTTCTAACCTTAACAACTGAGGCACTGTTGTAAATTCAGAACATAAAAATTGATACATTAAGAGTTATACTGGCCGGCCGAGTAGCTCAGTTGGCTAAGAGCTTGCTCAAGAGTTTGAGCTCTGAGCAACAGCAGTTTGATTCCCGGCCCAACCTGAGCTGCTGCTGAGCTGCCAACAGGTGGCAGGATGGTTCAGCTAAAAAAGAAAAAAAAAGGTGGACTGTTCTGCTTAATAAAAAAAAAATCTCAACTATGGGCTAATTTTAGTTCAAAGTGGCAATGGACTTTTAGTGAGGCAGATGTAAGAAAAAATAGAGAAAAGAAACCTGAGGATCTGTTTTTGACAAGAGCTTGAATCAGGTGTCACCCTCCCCTCGTAGAGAGACACCCGGCTTCTCCACATGAGTTCCTCTACCTCATGAACAGACAGTTTAGACCTTAGCAACTACCAGTCAGTCTCAAGATTTCCTAACAGCAAAAAAGGAGGGCCTTAGAAAAAACACAGCTCCTGCCTGCATATCAGTACCCATGGTGCCTATATTCTCGCCTCTTTCTATGGAGGTTTTTCTAACAGAAACCTTTTCTTTCTAATCTTTGTATCCTCAGCATTGATAATGGGGACTAGAATACACCAGGTCCCCAATAAATGCTGGTTATACTGCACTGAATTGCATCTGAGCTTCAGCTGGGTCATCTCCTTAGCACTCTATTACCTCTATCCTGCCTCAGCTGCACAAAGTACCAAGGGCACAATACATAAGGAGCCTGCTGGCCACAGGGCACTCAAACCCTGGCGGGCACGCCACGTGGAGAAACGCCAACTGGGAGTCTGAAGCACAGGAAGTGCCAACCCCCCTAACATTTAAAACACGCTCTAATGAGAACTTTAAACACAAACAGGCCAGAGGACAAAAGGCCAGGCTCTGAGTCAGACTACCTTGGGTTTACCTCACTCCAGGCTATGTGTGATTTTGGCAGTTACTTAACCTCTCTGAACCTCAGTTTCCTAATCTGTAAAATGGAAGCAATGAGGGCGCCTACTTCATAGAAGTATGGTGCACTGAATGAGGAAACAAAACACAAAACACTGGTCACTAATAAATATTAAAGAAATAATAGTGGCTACAATGATTACAACTCACCTCAGCAGATGACAAATAAATTATGTCTGAGAATATACCCCATCCACCCTCTCTGAGTTCTTATCTGACCTAATTAGACACATCTTACCTCACAGTTAATCAGATGATGTGGCCTGTTCTTTTTTTTTTTTTTAAGTTCTCAACAGATAAAAATCTAAGCTC